CCATTGACACCAATAATGCATTCATTTTAATATTAAATTCATCTAGATTATTATCATATTTTGAGATTATACCAATTCTATAAAAGTTTAAATTATTTATAACTTATAAAAATTAATTTATTAAGAATAATTCTCTAATACAAACATACTTTCCCTCAATTATATCGTATGTATTGAAACCAAAAATTTTAGCCCCGATTAGGGATAGACTGTAAATATCTATCAAATGATTGTAATCATCGCCCATAGCTTCTGGTGCTTGATATATGCCTGGGTCCCCGACATCTGCCGTATGCTTGACTTCAGACATATGAAACGGATCGCAATTATAGACCTCTTTAGCCAAACCAAAGTCACATAACTTTATGCGTCCGTCCATTGAAATCAACACATTATCCGGTTTGAGATCTCTATGAATGATATGCTTTTTGTGCAAATATTGCACACTTTCTGTGAGTTCACGAAACATTTGGTACGATATATAAAACTCAGAAATAGTCATCAATTCATTAAACAATGATTTCTTAGTTTTTAATACACTTTTCAGATTATCTGAACATAACTCCATTTGAAAGTAAAGACAATTGCATTCAATCCACGAATAGTAGTATTTAATCACAAACTTTGACCGAAGTTTCACAAGATTTTGCGTTTCATTCAAAATGTTTTGTCTGTCTTTGTCGGATAAACCTTTAAATAATAAATTTATAATTTATATTAACTATAACTAATTATATAATATATAAGTTTGAATGAAATTAACTTATTCTACACAATAGGTGGTACTCTGGGCGGTGACTGACCCGAGTCCGGCCACTCTCGGACTTATAGTTCACGAGATATTAGTGTTTTAATGATTGAGTGTTTGATGAGTTATAAAATGTTTGCCAAAATAGCGGTAAGTCGTTTTGGTAAAATTACTACAGGTTAGAATTGAGCTAGATTAAAACAAAATTTTTTGCAACTATGGTTTTTTTGCACCAACACATCCATATGATGACTTTTACTTAATTCTCTGAGGAACGGTAGGGAACGGTAGTTTTTGGAAATCTTAAATTACTCAAAAAGTATCCAACATTTTTAAGTTCTGATTTTTGGATATGATGCACAAGGTCAATATGAAGAAACTAAATTCTGGATTTCGCAAAATTTTACCTTGATAATTTTTAAACGAATTTCTTATTTTCAAATATGAATATTTTAAATCCATTTATCTCGGCAATGGATGAATGTATCAGGGTGATTTTAAATCTGTTCGAATTGTCTTGCAAAATACTAAAAGTTATTTGCTGGCACCGATACTGTATTTATTAAAATTATATTAATAAAAATAACGATTAGGCCATGCATTACAGTATATGTGGATTATGGTAACGTTGTATCTGAACGGATGTTTGTTTTTGTCAAATGTTTTGATTTATTGGTTTTGCCAACAATTTGTCAACAATTAAATCAAAACAATGGAATTGTCTAATATTCCGGCCGAAAATGAGATACCATTTCGTCGATTCATTAAATTGAGAGCATTAGGAGAAGGAATGCATCGATTGATTAAGAAATTTGGTAAGTATTTGATATTTTATTAATTGATTTATTAATGAATTATATGTAAAAATAGGTTTCAGTCAGAAGACTTATTACAAGTGGTGTAAGTATGATGACGAAGAGATACCACTTCTGCCGCCATCAAAAGCAGGCCGTCCACGGATCACAAGTGTCGAAGAAGACGATCTGATTGCCGAAGTGGCCATTGAGAACAGGTGGGACCCTTTAAACAAATGGAGGGATGATCCTAAACTCGCGGGAAATGAAGCCATATTTCATTCATCGGATCGAACAATCTATCGAAGATTGAATGAAAAAGGTTAATATTTTTGGTTTAATAATAATTCAAATTAATTATATTTTTCAATTAATAGGAATCCGAAAATGTGTGGCCGCTGTCCGCCAAAGACTGACACAATTACATCGCGAGAAACGGCTCTCATATGCCACAGAGTTCGTAAACTGGACGTTTCTGGACTGGTCTCGAGTCATATTTATTGATGAGTTCGGAGTCGACACAAGTGATAATGGGAAAGTGAAGGTCTTTCGCTATAGAGGCCAACGATTTGCCGAACAGAATATAGCGGAGACATCGAGGAATACGAGGCAAACGTTTTCCTTTATTGTTTCGTAAGTTTTATAAAAATTTGCAACAATTTATCTAATTATTTATAAATTACAGGTTTTCCTTTCACGGAATTGGACCGATTATGAGAGTCAAGAAGTTCTCCAAAGAGGTTTACATCGAATATCTTGAACAACACCTCTTGAATTACATCAACGATCACTTCGATGATGGGAACTTCTTGCTCCTCCACGACGGACATCGGGCCCACACCTGCAATGCCGTGAAGGAATGGATTGTCAGCACGTTTGGTCTCGAATACGAGTTTATTGTCGTCCCACACCCGTCATGTTCTCCAGGTAATAATATTGATATTTTATTTTATAATTAATTTTACTAAAATATTTTACAAATAGATTTGAATGCTGTTGAACACGTTGGCGGAATGCTCAAACAATTGCTTCGATCCGTCAAACCAAAGATTTGTACCGGTGACCAACTTTGGGAACACCTCCAGTGGGCGCATAATAATTTGGCCCAAAATCGTGATTTTTTCATTCAATTAATCGATTCAATGCCTCGAAGGCTCCAACAAGTGATTGAAAATGAAGGAGGCCATACCTCATATTAATTATTTATAAATTCTTGTCAAATATTTTGTTTAATTAAATGCTTTATACCAGTAATTAATTTTCAAGATTTAAAAGATAGTCAATAAATATTAGATTAATCAAAAAATACGATTGATATTTGGTTACCTTATTTTAATAAATACAGTATCGGTGCCAGCAAATAACTTTTAGTATTTTGCAAGACAATTCGAACAGATTTAAAATCACCCTGATACATTCATCCATTGCCGAGATAAATGGATTTAAAATATTCATATTTGAAAATAAGAAATTCGTTTAAAAATTATCAAGGTAAAATTTTGCGAAATCCAGAATTTAGTTTCTTCATATTGACCTTGTGCATCATATCCAAAAATCAGAACTTAAAAATGTTGGATACTTTTTGAGTAATTTAAGATTTCCAAAAACTACCGTTCCCTACCGTTCCTCAGAGAATTAAGTAAAAGTCATCATATGGATGTGTTGGTGCAAAAAAACCATAGTTGCAAAAAATTTTGTTTTAATCTAGCTCAATTCTAACCTGTAGTAATTTTACCAAAACGACTTACCGCTATTTTGGCAAACATTTTATAACTCATCAAACACTCAATCATTAAAACACTAATATCTCGTGAACTATAAGTCCGAGAGTGGCCGGACTCGGGTCAGTCACCGCCCAGAGTACCACCTATTGTGTAGAATAAGTTAATTTCATTCAAACTTATATATTATATAATTAGTTATAGTTAATATAAATTATAAATTTATTATTTAAAGGTTTATCCGACAAAGACAGACAAAACATTTTGAATGAAACGCAAAATCTTGTGAAACTTCGGTCAAAGTTTGTGATTAAATACTACTATTCGTGGATTGAATGCAATTGTCTTTACTTTCAAATGGAGTTATGTTCAGATAATCTGAAAAGTGTATTAAAAACTAAGAAATCATTGTTTAATGAATTGATGACTATTTCTGAGTTTTATATATCGTACCAAATGTTTCGTGAACTCACAGAAAGTGTGCAATATTTGCACAAAAAGCATATCATTCATAGAGATCTCAAACCGGATAATGTGTTGATTTCAATGGACGGACGCATAAAGTTATGTGACTTTGGTTTGGCTAAAGAGGTCTATAATTGCGATCCGTTTCATATGTCTGAAGTCAAGCATACGGCAGATGTCGGGGACCCAGGCATATATCAAGCACCAGAAGCTATGGGCGATGATTACAATCATTTGATAGATATTTACAGTCTATCCCTAATCGGGGCTAAAATTTTTGGTTTCAATACATACGATATAATTGAGGGAAAGTATGTTTGTATTAGAGAATTATTCTTAATAAATTAATTTTTATAAGTTATAAATAATTTAAACTTTTATAGAATTGGTATAATCTCAAAATATGATAATAATCTAGATGAATTTAATATTAAAATGAATGCATTATTGGTGTCAATGGAACAGTTTTGGGTTATTATTAATATTTTGGAGTTAAAGGCATTTCATTATTTAGTCGTTTCTTAGGGTATTTGAAAATGATCATTCCTATAGTGAATGAAACAAATAATAAAAACAGTCCAATCGGATAATAGTAGTACACTATAAATGAAAATTTTAAAGAATATTCATAAATAATTGTTTAACTTATAATTTACTCACAACTTTGCACAACAGATACGTGTCATATTATTAATAATTAAAAGTATTTTTTATGAGAAATTTGTTTAAAAAATTCATTTTATTGATAGAATATTTGATTGAATCAATGAATACTTATTAAGTTACTTTTAAAATAACAATGTTATTATTAATAACTTGTTAATAAAAGATTATTCATACGGATTAGTGAACTAAAATTGGGATCTTCACAAATGTTTTAATCTAGTTTATTACCCAGTTTACTGCTTATTGTATGAAATACTGTGTGCGTCGCTTAAACTTATATAAATTGTATAATTATTTATCGTTAATATAATTTATAAATTGATTTTTTGAAGGTTTATCAGAAAAAGTGAAACAAAATGTTTTGAATGAAACCAAAAGTCTAATCAAAGTTCGTTCAGAGTTTGTGATTCAATACTACTATTCATGGATTGATGAGAAAGACAATTGTCTTGACATTCAAATGGAGTTATGTATCGATAATCTCAACAATGTTTTAGAAACTAAGAAATCATTGTTTAATGAATTGATGACTAGTTTTGAGTTTTATATATCGTATCATATATTTAGTGAACTCACAAAATGTGTGCAATATTTGCATGAAAATCATATCATTCATAGAGACCTCAAACCGGATAATGTGTTGATTTCAAGGGACGGACGCATAAAGTTATGTGACTTTGGTTTGGCTAAAGAGGTCTATAATTGCGATCCGTTTCATATGTCTGAAGTCAAGCATACGGCAGATGTCGGGGACCCAGGCATATATCAAGCACCAGAAGCTATGGGCCATAATTACAATCATTTGATAGATATCTACAGTCTATCCCTAATCGGGGCTAAAATTTTTGGTTTCGATACATACGATATAATTGAGGGAAAGTATGTTTGTATTAGAGAACTAATTTTAATAAATTAATTTCTATAATTTGTAAATAATTTCAACTTTTATAGAGTCGGAAAATATAATATAAATATAAATAAATGGATGCATAAAATGAATGCATTATTGGTGTCTATGGCTGTCAATGAATATTCAAAAAACGGTTCAACAGATTGGAGACAAAGACCCGAATGTTCGCACATTTTATCACAATTGCAGACATTTATGACAAATAAACCCATTTTTGGGGAAAATGAGTGGAAATTAATTACAACCAATATTAATGACAATAAAATTTGGAAAATATTTCTGAAAAGCAAATCATGTTGTTTCTTACGAAGCAATCAGAAAACAAGTTTAGGTTTGTATTTAAATAAAATTTTAAGAAAATAATTTTGTTAATTATTTATCATTTAGAAACTCTTGAAATAAATGAATCCATGTTTGAGTATACTAATTACTCATATAAACATAAAACTTCGGGACATGTTTATAAATTAACCAAAATTAATATACCAGGTTAGAATAGAAATTATATAACTATTATCTACGTGTTATAATTTTGAGTGTTATATATTTATACAATATTATATACCTCTATATATAGATACTGTTAAAGAAACGAATAAATTAATTGTTGATATAAACAAGATATTTAACACGAATTCGCAGTTATCGGCCGAATATTACAACTTTTGGTTTGAAAATAATAATGCATTCATTCAAAGTGAATATTTTTCACTAGATTTAAAGGATTTAATAAAAAGGAAAACTAAAACATTCAAAACCCAGGCCTCCGATGACATGATTTTCATTGATTTCTACATATCGTGTGAATTAATGCGAGAACTCTTGCAATGTCTCTATTATTATCAGCAAATGTGGGAAATATTAGACAAATGGTATATAAGCGATGATTATATTGTAATTGACACTAATATGAAGTATGACAGATGTATCAGGATATACATATACCATGCTCAAAAAGCAAAGAAATATCAGCGGAATTGTTATTATAATTATTACCGGAAAAAGATTGGTGATATTTTTAAGCCAGTTATGGAAAAGTAAGTATAATTTTATTAAACCAATATAATTTATAACATACTATCATTTAGGGACAACATACCGACTGACCAGGGTATACAAATTGATAGAATTCACGAGTTTTTAAATGATAAGGACTATAAATATAAAAGTATGCCTTCGGTCGATGATATGGTCAATGAATTCAACGACATTTTCGCGCATAATATCCGTATAACCGATGAAATGATTTCCACATTTCAAACACACATTCAATCCATGGATTCACAAGAATTTGATTTCAATTTCTTCTATAAATACTTATTAATGAAAACCAATTTAACAAACAAT